GTATTTATGCTGGTTTCAGTGTCCTGGGGTGACCTTTTGACAAAAAAATTTTTTTTTAATCAAGCCCCCCCCCCCCTCTTTTCCAATCTGAAAATCTGGTCACCTTAAGTATAGAGGATTCTGTGGGATATTTGAGATCTTCTTACATCCTCTTTAAATCCAAGCACCAATGCTTTTAAAAAGAAAGATATGAAGAATAGCTATAATACCTCTTTCTTCCCTTTTAAGTGGAATTAAGACTTTTAAAAATCAGTTAAGTATAAAAGCAAACACTGTTAGGTCTGGGTTACCAGAGCTTTTAAAATTCAAATAGTACCACATCCTTTAGGTCTGTAGTTAAATTCCTTTAAGTAAGTCATGTTTTCTCTGCTTCTATTTTATGCATTGAATAATACTAAAATTCGTTCTTAGGGCTATATTAATACCTCAGCAAAATTAAATGCTGCATCGTCATATATTCAGGATGAATGATGGTAGCCAACTACAGAAAGAGGAACCACTTAAATTAACAAAAATATCTTATCAATGAATACAGTATTAATATAAATTAGAAACAATGAAATGAGAAGGAATTTAAAACATCACATGCATCCTGACATTTATGTATTTACAATCCACAGGAGCATAGCAGGAACTAGATTGAGTAGAAATGCACATAGATGGCTTTTTATTTGCAATCTAGTTTGCTCTTAGAGGTTCTGAAAATGAATGGCAAATGTTTTCCAGGAATCAAAGAATACATTAGATCAATGTGTTTTTTCAATCCTGGCTACTTTAAGATGTGTGGAATTCAATTCCCATGCCTGTCACTGTGATTAACCACAAATATAATGAGGAAAGCAAAGAAGAACTAAGACAGGCCATGGAAGTGAACAGGTTTTTTTGATAGTCAGCAAAACACTGTTCTATTTCCCATAAAAATCATGATATTGTTCTAGAGGTAAAGCAAAAAAACAAAACAAAAACCCTTTTCTTAAAAATCTGAAGAGTAAAGGAACACAATTAACTCCAAGATTCCAAATTAAACACGTTCAAGGATATGAACACTTGATTTGGTTGCTTTAATTAAAGAATAATCAGCTTGATCTTGTATTTAAAGTTTCTGACCATCAACTGTTTGTTCTCATACCAGGAAATCAGCTACCTTTGCTCTTTCTATAGTTATCACTATAGAATAATCACATAGCAAACTGAGTAAAATTCAGCAAGTCTGGCGGGCGGTAACTCTACAGCTGTGTAATAATACTTTTTTTGAATAATTTTAATTATGGTATGTGGCTACACTGTGACTCAGTGGTTATAGATCAGTGTAAAAAAATGGCACATTTTAGCTTACTAAAAGCTTTTTAGAATAAATGATTTAAAAAAAAATTGTACTATGAGCCTATAAAGCATTTTAGACTAAAGAAAACTGTACAGTAGTTTTGGAATTCCAATTTTTAAAAACATATTTAAAGACATAAAGGCCCAAAATTCATGTTGGTATTATCTGTAGATTTCACTTGGGGACAGCTGCTCACCATTTTCATCATATACTCAATTTCTATAAAATATTTCTATATTTTGTGTGTGGCATCTGTTTTCCTTTCTTGCCCTTTCCAGAAAAACATGCACTGTCCACTTTATCTTTTATTTTTTCCAGAAAAACATGCACTGTCCACTTTATCTTTTATTTTTTCCAGAAAAACATGCACTGTCCACTTTATCTTTTATTTTTTCCAGAAAAACATGCACTGTCCATTTTGAATTTTGCAGGAAACATCCTTAATTTATCAAGTCTTTATAGGGAGTCCTCAACTCATGACCACAACTGAGCCCAAAATTTCTGTTTCTAAGTGAGATATTTGTTAAGTGAGTTTTACCCCATTTTAAAACCTTTCTTGCCACAGTTGTTAAGCGCATCACCCCGGGATAACGCAACCATCGTAAGTATGAGTCAGGTACTAGGCATCTGAATTTTGATCATGTGACTACGAAGATGCTGCAACAGCCGTAACTGTAAAAATCATCGTGTCACTTTTATCAGTGCCGTTGTAACTTTGACCGGTCACTAAATGAACTGTTGTAAGTTGTACCTATACTTATAGATCCTCTACAAATTTATATAAAAATCTTTGTTATTGGCAATTGGATGATTTGTTCATAGCTGTAGATCTGTAACTTATACATTATTTCTCTGAGAATATTTCATAGTCTAAAGATGAGCCAGTCTAAAATATAAAGGGGAGAAAGTAACAGAGAAAGGGAGAGGAATGATGGGAGAAAAAGATAAAGTTAAAAGCCTGGAGAAAAGTGTTCTTCACAAATATTGATATTTGGTTTATTAAAGAGTTGGCTGAATGACTTTGTGAGTTTTGAAGAAGATACATATGTGAGTGTGAAAAAATGAGATAGCACAATGCCTATGTTCAAGGAGAGAATAGCAGCAGTGAAAGCTGAGAATGAGTCATGTCGGAAAGTAAAAGGCTTTTAAGTAGTCAAGAGTGGTGAAGCGAAGGCTACAGCCAAGGATATAATGAAAATTGAAAGTCAACATTTAGTGTAAGTCAAGGGTACAAAAAACACTTTCATTATTAATGACATATCTGCTATTACTTTCCTTGGAACTGTTCACACGGATATGTACTCTTACACCATGATGTAGGCAATGCTGATGGGCTTTCCTATGCCTTCATCTTTACAAGATTCTGACTGAACATGATTCCTGCTTTGAACCATAGGGCCAATTTTCAAAGTGTTTGAAATGGGCTCTGGTACTCATAAAAATGAGGCCCAAGAGCAATATAATGCCCAGGGATCACAGGTTGCCTACTCTACTTCTAGTTAGACCCACAGTTGAATCAATACAGGACAGTACTTGTTTATTTGTGCTGAATATGGAAGAAGGAAGCACGATGGTGGAAACAATATCAGAGATGGCAAAGGAATATGGGACACATAGAAGGATTAGACAAGATTAGTATAGTAGAAGAGAAGAAGGAAAGCAATGGTAAAGGTCAAGAAGGAAATTAAAGGCAAAGTTGGAAGACGACTGGGATGTATTAAAACAAGTTTAATATTGCCACTGAAAGAGACAAGATCCTTAGGCAGACATTAGAACAAAGGAGAAGGGATGTCATAGTATTAGTTACACTTCTATTTATTTGATTAAGAGGGTAGAGCTTTAAATGCGTGGGCTCTTCATGGGCCACATACAAATTTAGTTCTATTTTTGTCATCCCATCAATTTTAAGCAATATGAGTCTTCCCTATATTATATTCTGGTTTCCAAATTTATAGGAAATCAACAACCAGTTGTCTTTACCAGCCATCCAATGGGAAATGCAAATGGGGATTCGTTGCTGTTCTAAAGGCCATATTATTTTTGCAAGCAAGGATTGCATGCAACACAAATTGCCCATGCTTGGTGAAAACCAATATATGACATTCTACCAACACAAATGGAGAGACACTGAACAGATTCTACATGTATTAGTTCTCGTGAACAGAAAAGGCTTCATTTCTTCTGTTTTTAAATACCCATTAAACTATGAAAGCTGCATATCTCTTATTTAGTGACTCAGTCAGAAAAATAATCATTGAATCCAAATTTCTACAGAGTAATAGTAAACAATGAGGGACTCACCTGGGAAGCAGAAAGAACTTCTGCTTCCCACATAAAATCCCATATATATCTTTGAAATGCTATTGAATGCTACAGTATTTGATTCCTATAGCATGGAAAATGCTAATAGATGTTGTCAAATATTTGTATAGTGCTGAACATTTGAAAGCATATCACATTCCCAGGAACAGCTTATATAATTCATTCTTTATAAGTAAAAACATGCTAATTTGTTTACCATTCCAACAGTGAAATTTTTAAAGGCAAAAATTAATATGATATTACTGCAGGTGTTTAAAAGTTAAGTTACACCAAGGTGTAAAAGATAATACCCAATAAAATAAACAAACAATAGTATTAAACAGCAAAATTGTGAGAGGAAAGCTGTTTGCTATAGTTTCCCTTAGAATTTTACTTCAGCAGTTTAAAATTTCTATGCTCTTAATATCTGCATCCAAACATGTAGGTTTAGATGTTTTGATGCACATATAAAGAGTTGTGAATTACTTTGTTCTTCTGAAGAGTTAGCTGTTATTATCTGCACTTTCTGAATGTTTATTAAAATTAATTCCTAACAGATATACAACATGCACAATTTCACAGTAGTAGACTAGTGAAGGTAATACAAATTAATCAGTGATATACTTACAGTTGCATTTTTTCTGCACAAATCTAAGCTTACATGCGGTTCGGTAGGTGGACAAACGGATACGATCCAGATCTTGAGCCCCTAATTATGGAAAAATATATGTGCTAAGATATATGTGTTCTGTGCCTAAATCTCACTCAACAATACTCACAAAAGGTTTCTCTAGGATATTTTAGTACCTTTTACACAGTTAATCTTGGGTAAAAGGTTTTACCAAAGGGGAAGTTTTAATTTATCACATTGAAAGCCAATGTAGTTTTATTAAATAAATATGTTGCCCAACTCCCAATATGATCAAACCACAAGCAAACAATATAAACAAATACCGAACAGCTGAGTTCTATACAGGAAAAGTTCTTCAAATTAACAGTTTAGTTCACATAAAAAGCTTTTTTGAACTGAACTCCTGGTGACTTCATAGACATTTCCTACAGGGTTTTATTTGATTGATTGATTGATTGCCATGGTCCTCATGAAGGCGGACACAGCATGGCAAGCTGAGTTTAATAAACACACACAAACATTTCAGTGAAAGTTTAATCTATTGATTATGACAGGGGAAAATTATCTTTCTGCAACCAAGGGCAACTGTTATTAATTTTTAGCAACCATGAGCTAAGACAGGGATGTGACACCATTACCCAAGTGCCAGGCTTTGGAAGACTTTTTTTTTGTTTCTAGGTACTTGGAAAGTTATTTTTTATCAGTAATGGGCACAGAGAATGAACACACCTATTCCTTTAATTCTCTTCCTAGTATTAGCAGGAAATCATATTGTCATAATTTTGTGGTTCACTCTCCCAAAGAATTTGATAAATATTTTGGGAGTTATCAAAAAAAGGCTTCTGCTGTTAACAGTGAATGGCCCTTTCCTGATTTATGTAAACCAAGCTAGAAAAGCAGTCAGTTGTATATGTTAGCATTAAGTGTGACTCAGTATCTTTGCTTGACTGAAGCTAAAACGTTATCTTTAAAAAAGATATGACCTACTTACGGTCTTTGGCTAAATTTGTTTATGACATTCATTGGAGAACACAGATTGCAAGAGCACTCTTTGCCTAAGCAGTTACTATGTTCTAATGCATCCAGTCTATTTGTAACATTGGAGCAGAGGTGATCTTAATCTGGGAATCTCTGAGAAAAAGGCAGAGGGGGTGGGTGGGAACAGTGCTCTACGCTGCAAGCACAAATCTGTTTTTTATTATAACTAGGCTAAGATAATTCTCCAAGGTAAAATCAAACAGTCTTATGATTCAAAGATACTGTTTACTGTTTTCAGAACATAAAAGAAATATGTTTTGGTTATGATAAAATAATGAAATTTAATTAGCAAAATGAGAGCGTTTCATCACTTAGCCCATCAGCAAGAAGATTTTATTGAAAAGATGAGGATTGGTCTAAGTCTCTAAGACACCAGTTGGAGAAGTAATTCCTAAAGTAATTCCAATTTAGAAAGACTGAACCTTTTTTGTTGTGGTGGTTTGTCATATAACATGAAGAAATTTCTATTTATATTATTGGGGTGATCTGACAAAGCAAGAAGTCCTCAAAATGTGCCTTCATGGAAATATAAACAATTTTAGAATGCTAAATGCAAGAATAAATTTATGATTTTTATTGGTCAATACTTTAAATAAGGTAAATATCTTAAGATATATTAAGTTACAGATCTCCAAGGAAATCACGAGGTTATTCTGAAAGTTCTGAATGTGATAACATATAAAATCAAGACATCCATCAAAGACTCTGACAGCAAATATAATTTTTATAGTAAAAAAATAATTCTGTTGTGGTATTATAACTAGAACACAGAGAAGGAATGTTGATGGTCTTTATTTAATTTCTATATTGGGAGGGCGGAAAACAGGTTTTTTCCCCACTCTTCATTGCCACTGACAAAACTTTTACTTATTTTTTCTCTTTCATCTGCCAAATTCTCTAGACAAGTTCCTTTTATCAACTAACTGCTTCAGTGCAATCTGTGGCTGGCAAAGATTGTCCTGAACTATTCAGTGTTTCATCCTGGGAATTTACTTTAATCACTGGTCATGTTGTCAAACACACAAAAAACCATTTCAGTGAAGCCCAGGTTTTTTTCCCCGTTTTTTTAATGTCATGTTAATGATTGAATATTACTAAGTTTGCTTTTTGCTTTTTAAAATATTTCTGGAATGTTTTAAATTTTGTTTTAGTACAGTTCTATTTAATATCTTGTCAAAGATAATACATTTATTTTTTTAAAGAATTGAGTTTTTTGATGGGCTTCCATAATAATAATTCCACAAGTATTAATTGGGTTGTTAACAATGGGACTGAGTAATAGTAATACAGAGCTTGTTTGAAGGCGCAATCCATCATATTGATAAATACTAAGATGTAATTGAAGTGCATCTGTAAAAAAAGTGACATACCTTTGGATCTTTCTATATATAGGTATGTTTTATATACTGTATTATAATACTATTTTATTTGGACTTTGCTTGTGGTTGATAAGAGCAGAAGTCTGAAATGTTTAGATGGCTTTAGTTTGCTGACCAGGTGCATTGTGAAGGATCCAACTCAACTGAAGTTAAAGTATCATAATTAGGGTGCACAGCACACTGAATTTGAAGGCAAAAAGATCCTTTGGAGTGCGTGGCATTTGTTTGCATATTTCGTCTGGTATTGCATAGATGTCCTTCAATAGCACCACACGATTCCAGGAAAAGACACATTCAGGTTAAGAACTGCAGAGAGCTGCTACATGTATGATTCCTTATAGTTCAAAAACCTTTTGTTGCTTTTCAGCCTGAAGCATCGCACAGTTTTAATATTAATGTCAATGTCATACTGTTTCAATTCTACCTACAAAATAAAATGCCAAACAACATTTGTATTCTGGCAAACTTTTAAACATTTTCAAAATTAAGAAACTAAAAGTGTAATTTAAGAAACCCAGAAAAACATCAGTGGGTTGCTTGGGATTGAACAATCCAGAACAAATAACATAGATTACATCAAACAAGATACACATGAGATTATACAGAATTAGAACAGCCCTTGCCTTTGGTTGCTAAGCGTTGGGGAAAATGCAGTCCCAACAAATTGGGTCCGCATCCATTGAAGAAAATGGAATTACAGTGAGAAAATATATTTGAGATTCAGTATGGTTATTGGTGAGAAACAATGGTTTTGACTGTTCACATGTGTTTTCTCCCAAAGAAAGAATACTAGAGATATTTAACCCTATGTCTGCATTGAAATGATTAAAAAGCATCATTTTGTCAATTAAATATAGTTTCTTGGTCCTGTTTTGTGTAGAAATTCTTACATTGTAGAACAAACTGCCTATAGCCCAGGGCAAAAATCCATGTAATATTTACCACAGGTATTTTTTTATCTTGTTGGCCTTTTGCATGAAATCTAACATCTGTCGGAAAGCCAACAGAACAAAATATAACATGCCATAGCACTTACTCATTTCTGCAAACAGCTGCCTCCTTTCTGCCATGGTAGCGCCTCTTTTCCCACAATCTTCAATCATTCTAAGCAAAAAAATATTAAGCATATCTTCAGAACCATTTGCAAACTAAGGACATAAATATATGAAAAGTTCCAGTGCACTGTTTTTCCAATTCTATATTCAATATTTATTTATTTGATTTCTATAGCATCCCATCTCAACAAATGACTAGAGAGCATACAACATAAAACATAAAAACAATTAAAATTATTAAAACAATACAAAATAAATATATATGGCACCAAGTAAAAGTGTTATTATGGATGTTAATATAGTCTGGAAATGTGAGCCAGTCTAAATAACTGGCTGACTTTGCATCTAATCATAATGTTTAACGCCCTTTGAAACTTTTAGACAAAATTATATTGAAATGTGTTCACCATTGGGAAACAAAAGGAAGAACATATCTCAACTTCAGTTTAATTTCAATTCAGTTTAATTTCAGTTTAGTTTAATTTAGAGTGTCTTATGGAGGAAAAATCCATACCTTCCCATAATGGATTATAAACTTCAGATTACCAATTTCAATCTGATTCCCTTCCTGCATTTCTTTTATCAATCAACATTTATCTACCAGCTGGTTTTTTCAGCTATACAATTAACACCAATTCTTGGATAATATCAGAAAATTGTTCTGTGTTCTTTCATAAGACTTCTTGAAAAGTGCTAGTAGCATCTGTCTGTTCTACACATAGATGAAGTATGTCGAGTGTGGCAGGAAAAAAAGAGCTGCTAGTTTATATCGTGTGAACTGTGTGTTCAATTTTTGTCCTGCAAGAAGGAGGAGGCGGAGGAGAAGGGATTTTAAAAAAATACTTATTTGATTAAACTCTATTGATGATGGCAACTGTTATTTCTGTTGATAAAACAGATTTTTTCTTTTTATTTCACTATAAATAATGAAACAAATTAAATGTTATAATTTGATCCGTAATCAAATTATGTTTATTTTACTTTATTGCTCCTGTTGGGGACTTCTTGTGTAAGAAATATTTTAACTGTTGGCCCATATTATTTTTCTGATTTAAACTTCCCCCAGAGTCTATTAATATATATTTATAATAATATACAAATTGCTATATATTAACCTTTTCTCCTCTAGTAGGATTAAAAACAATTTTAAAGGTGACCAGCAAGAGCAGAGAAAAACTGGCCCATTTTTCAAGGCTAAAACTGATTTTAACATCAGATAAAATGATATTATACTAGAGATCTGGAAATCATGTTTTTTTTTTGAAGCAATAGATTTGGACAATATAATACATTATGAGTCTACAATAATATGTGTTTATTTATACAACCACCCCCTTCATCCATGTATCCAAGAGTGATTAATACAACAGAAACTAGAAACAGAAACATATTTATTTTGGCTTCTGTCTTCTTCAGCTGTTGTGAAACAGTGAAATATTCAGTGAATATACTACACAAGTTTCTCTGTAATATTCCAAGTATCTAAAGGAAATATATAGTAATCCACATGCTTAGTCAATTTAGTCAATTTTTATTTTTTATTTTTTTAAGTTCTGGCAATTGTAAGTATAATGTCATGGTCAGAATAATTAACAAAGTAAACCAACAATTTAAGGATTTGGTGATATGGGATATCAATTATATTCCTTCAAAATAGCTAGATTACCTACAGATCAGTCTTCCAAAATAGGCTTGTACTTAATATATATATATATATATATATTAATACACAAATGTAACAAAGGCAACAGTAAAAATATTGGGTTTCTGTCATGATGGACTCTTGTGATTAGCCGATTGACAGAGAATGGAAGC